TGAACGTGAAATGCCTCCGATATATCATAACCAAAATTCACAGTTTGCTATAACCTTTAAATAACTACGCAATATATTAATAGGAAGCGGGAAGGAATGAAATTTACGTACAATGCAATTACCTTTTATAGTTATACATATTGTAAAAATAAAACTATCTGTACTGATACGACGTAACGAAAGTTCACTGCTGAAAAAGACTACCCACATAGAATATAGGGGGACATATAAAATAGGGGGATATTTTGCAAACAAGTATTGCAAACGCAGGTTTTTATTTGTTAAATGGAAAGTGCTTCTTTTAGAGGATAAGGGCTACATACGAGCACACAGTCCATGTAATATATATATATATAGTCTTTCTAGTTTATATAGTAATAGTCTCTGTTATTTTTCTGCATAAAATTATATTTTTTCTGCATAGATAAATTAAGAATAGTACACCTGATGGTAAGTAGATACTATACATCTACATTTATACTCGATTAAGAATTAAAATGCAGATGCGTTGCATTAAATAGCACCTTACTGCTGCTTGTAAAAAGGGGCTCCGGTTCTCTACACTCGTCATACGAAAGAATCAGCAGTAAGGTGCTATTTTACACTGGTATTCTGTAAAAGCGTGCTCCTTCTCCGGTCAAGTATACGTTCTTGATATTTCTCATTGAAAAGGTCTTTATCAAACACCTTCCTTTGTTGATAAATAAACAGTTTACGTTAGCAAATAAAAGCTAAAAACATATTAATGTATATAATCAATGAATGAAGTTTATTATACGGAACAATAAATCTACAGCTACTATAATATAGTAACGTCAATAAAATCCCAAACCATGGGCATACGTGAGCTTGTTTTCAGCTAGCGCCTTACGTAATATCATTGATTTATTGGAAATGGTTGGGAAACTTGCAATTGCAACTCAATTCAGTGCTCTTTGCAACTTCCAACAAACTGCGGAGTTGTTCGCGTCTGGCGTCGTCAACTACTGGATATGTCGTTAAACTTTTAATGCTTGTAGAGTCAATTACGCTTTGTGAATGTTGTTGAACTTTAGAAATTGATACTCAAATTTACTAATAAGTTTGACGCTTAACGTAAAATATATTCGATTGAACTTTCAATATTAACCGTAATAAGTTTTAAAAACGAATATTTTTTGTCAAAATTGAAGTGACAAGCAAACTTACAGTTCACTTGATGGTAAGTGGCTACTGCCTACCATGAAGACCTTCAACAACTTCAAACAAAAAAGGCTACGGCGCTGTCACCTCTGAGGACCAATTTTGAATGCCTGACAAGCTCACAACTTCACTCTGAACTAACCTAACCAAATACACAGGCAGAAAAGGATCACCTTGTAAAATGTATATTGCATGCCTTAAGCGCAAAGCGCGTAGGTATGTTCTACATTTTTCTATATTGTTTCGCTAAAAGTACGTAGGATTTATATATAAATATACTTATATGTCTTGGTTTTATGGAGTGTCCTGAGTGAATACTAAATTAAAAGACTGGTTAGATATGACTATATGAAAAACTTCTTGAAAACGAAATAAAGTAGATGATGAAAGAAAATTATTAACGAGTCAGGTAAAAAAGACTAGTTTTTGCGATAATGCCTTCTCATTTTTTTAATAACATTACCTCCACCTAGGGTTTTCCCTGTATCGTGGAATCAGTTTACATACATAAATTGCACAAGGGAATATATATATCCAGACCCGGAACAATTATTTGTAGGCCATACAAATACTTGTTCCGTGCGGGATTCGAACCCGCGGCCCTCAGCGCTATAACTCATTGCTAAGCTATTGCGCCACGGAGCCGTCAATGCCGTCACAAATACTTAAAAATTAAAGTAATATTAAAGTTGATTTCTGATCGTTTTAAAATATTTCTGTTAAAAGTTATTTCAATTAAAAATAATAATATTTTTTTGAATCTCAATAGTAATAACATACTAAAATTAAAAAAATGTTTTCTATTGTTTGTTGAGATTTTTTTTCTGATTTTTCACGATTATATGAGTCGTTCACTCCTGGATTTTCCAAACTTTTTATTGACGTTTGACATAAAATTATTTGAAAATTAGAAGTAATAGTAACAAGGTTATTTTGTGAAAACTTGTGCGTATTTAATATACTTAAAAAATTGGCATATAATATGAGCGCTTAAGGGATGCACATTTGGATTCCAAACGTTTTATTTTGCACTTCTCTAATATAAACAAAATATAAATGAGATGGCCAAAATGTGCCCCAAGCTATACAAAAATAAGACTATTGCTATTAATTTAAATAAAAATAAAAAAGAATTTTGAATAACTATTAACATTTCATAGTAGCTGTTGAAAGATAATCAAGTTTAAAAGTATTTAAAGTGATTTCTTCTCTTTGAACTTACTCTATAGCACCTTTAATATGGCCATATAATACTTAAGAATATCAGAGTAGGGAAAACAATAACCAATAACTAAACTCATAAAAATATTTTATTTATGATATCTTATATATAAAAACAAGCCTTCAATTAATGAATTAATATGTGGCCGTGGTAGGGAAAAGGGAGATCTCCCGCCGGGCAAGGTGTTCTGCCCGGGGAGCGGCCAACACTCCGTGTGATAGTTCGGAGATGTTCTATAAAGAATGTTTATGATTCGGAATGTTGATAGCGTGATTTAGGCTTCGGTGTATTTCGCTTGTAGCGCGACGACAGCGCCGCCACATCACTTCCGGTCTGAGCAGGGGGGTGATGTGGCGGCGCTACAAATACATCAAAATAATCAAAATACACCAAAGGATAGGATTTTATTTATTTGTTTAATACAGCAACTGCTTAAAGATGTAGCGTTACATTATAGGGTAGGTTTGTTTTACTTTATCACTTGCAACACTGAATCCGTCCGTCAAGCATCAAAACAGTCAAAGTGTCAATGTCCGACTTGATCTGATTCACGTCTACCGACTTACGCGCCGTTTTTTGATTTAAGATATATGTACGCTTTTTCTTCTATTTGTGTTTTATCGTATTTTACTTTCATTTAATCAATGCCGTAGCCCCACGCGAGTGCTCCACTAATTATAAACGGTGTAATACGTAAGTTTAATTATTTTCTGTCTAATATACTTCGATCAATAATAGTCATGTTACAAAAACCAGTAACAAATAATAATTTCAAAGACTGAAAAAACTGCTGTCCTTGTTTTTTTTTAGTCAAACCGGTTAGTATATACTAACCTTCAAATCTTCATAACTTTTGTCCGCTACTGCGTAGCTACATATACTTTTCTAATTCTGTATGTAGAAGATCTGTACTTTCAAATGACATAGATTTCATCTCTGTACAGTCTGGGGTACGTGTTCATACAATTTTTGGCCATCTCCTTTAAGTCAAATAATAAATTTGTGTATTTTTTTCATCAAGTTCAATATTTTTTTCCTTTTGTGTAGTTCATTTTGAAATTGCTTGTATTTCTCTGACGGTGAATAGGTCATTCAAGTATATACTATTGTAAATTGACGTTGATGCCAGATGAGAGCACAACTCTGCTGAACATTTTATTAGATTTAACAATCGAACAATAAATGCTTTGCAATTTGTCAGTCGGCTCAATTGAATAAACATTAATTCTCAACTACAGGGATCGTTTTGTTCTGGTATCCGTAGATTATTTTTCTTCCTTTTTCGTATGCCCCTAAGAGTCCACTGTTAGATATTGGGTACTAAAGCGCATTGATGAATTCGGTACCAGAAGTAAGCATTTTTGACGCTACGTTTGACCACCAAACTTATTCATATTTATTTTAAGTCCGAGGTGAACGAGATGGTTATATAACTATCTATCGGATCCCGTAAGATTTTGCTAGTATTTGCTACAGTTCTTTTACAACACAGACGGGACAAAATCGAACAATGAATATGATTAATAAGTTACTTACTACATATGTAATAATGCTCTGATGCTCAGTTCGAGCCACAGGCTAAATCCGTAATTTCACAATTTTAGAGAATTTCAGTTGTCAACTGTGCAAAATATGTAGTGCCACAAGTATACAACACATTTTTATCCTAACATACCTGTGCCCGATGTGAAGCTTATATGATCAGACGTAGGTTTAGAAGCGGTGGATACAAAAAGAAACAAAATGCGACAAATTCAGCAAAATAACAATTGATGATTGTTTTGTTTAAAGCATTTGGCATAATACAATATTGTCTTGTGTTAAAATTCTTAGACCAGTTAAGCGAGGTATAGCAACCAAAAACGTGTGAGACATATCGTTACGAGATATCATCAATACAATAGAAAGAAGAACAGAAAGAGGACTGTTTATATTTATTTAAGAACGTTAATTTTGACTTTGATTGTAATACAATAATATGGTTTTATATGGTGATGAAAATGGTGCCTTCACAATCTATTTCATTTTATGAGTTATTCTCTACGACATGCAATAGTAATTATTTTTATTACGCTGCAGCCACATGATCGAGAGAAAGTTGCGATAAAAGTTTCTTTCAAACACAAAAATTATTAAGGGTTAACCATCTTAAAGCTTATAATTTCAATTTTTCTTTCTGGCCGTTTGTCCTAGAGTCATAGTACTTAGAAATATGTATAAGATAAAAATCTCGTAGCATACTTTTTCAATACAGAAATATTAGCAGGTAATTCTTCAAACAAGCCATGTCTTGCAGTGTGGGCACACCGTCCTATCTTAGCTATATAGTTATATTTTATAATAATAGTAATAATTAAGTAATATTAAATAGTACTATATAGGAGATAATTTCCAAAATAGAACCCTCTCGTACTCACCCACTTATTCAATTTTATATTATTTTCTTGTTGCAGATACAAAAATAAAAAAACCGAGGCAATGAAGAAATGATCAGAAAATTAATTTTTATCTCCTACCATAGATTATGAATTGTGGACTTTTGTTATTAAAGAACTGAACCTGAGAGGTTGAATACCAGTGATGGTATAACGAGCAAATGAATTTGTGGGCAATGGTGCCGTTTTGGACACAATGGTCGTACTGCTTAATTATTTTATACCTTATACTTTTTACAAAACGTGGTAAGTTATTAATAAAAATATTTTTTAATGAAAATTTCATGATAGCGGATAATATTTTTTAGACTCACGACCTATAAAAATATCATAGAATATACTTTATGAAGAGAATAATATGTAAGACCGAAGATTTGAACATTTTCTTATTTTTTTAATAATTAAAATATTTTTCTTTTTTCAACAATAATTTTAAAGTATATATACATAGCTGCTAAAGATAAAAGTAACCTTTAGGTTACTTTTATTAACCTACCTGTAGGTTACTTTGCTCCAAGTATACCAGTAGATCGACTAACAAATAAATTTCAATTGTATCATTATTAAAAAAATGTATGTACATAAAATACATTGCAACAAGCCAGATGTCACAGCTTTTTTACCTTACCGAATGGCATTGTTGCTGACATGTCCCGGACGCACACTCCCGGATGACGTCATCCCTGTACTCGTATTACAACAAACATATCCACCTGTCCCTCTGTACCTTCACTGACATTCCTATTTATTTTCTTTAGAACTATTTCCATTTGCGAGCTAATGGAAAATTTGTTATTGCTTATATTATTGTATAATGGACTACACTTTACAATGATATAAGATATAAAAAAGCTGCACTTGGCTCATACAAAAAGCTTACAACTTCAAGTTCCATGAAATAAGCAAGAGGTTTGCCTGTTTGTCTACCTCTAGTAGAAGCGTTACATTACTCCTTGATTTTAACATATAGCTATACTGTTCCACCAGGTGGAAGCAGCTACATGTTTGACAGTGAGGCTATATGAAAAAAGGTATTTAGGCTATATGAAATTGAGGTAAATATTGATGGCGCGATTTATCTAGGTACAGCTCCATCTGCTTTGTTTTGTGAGAACTAGTGATGTAATGTTACTTTATAAATATAATTATTCTATCAAGTTTTGTGTTTTTTTAGGTATTAGTACGTCGAGGTTTGTAGAATGCAAAAATAAAATGATTATGTTAATTAATAATATATTAGCCTATATCCTGCCACTGCTGAGCGAAGGGCTCCCTTCTCTTTCAGTATTTTATTCGGTTTTTTGCTAGAGTTTCCTAGTCCTAATCGTATAAGTTATATTATCTGCCTTATGTCAGAAGTGTTTTCCACAAGGTGTGAAATTGATTAACTTAGAAGTATGACGTTAACTTTAAAGTAAGTGCATGTAATTTAAGAACATCTTGAAGTATATGTAGTACCTGGACATGTATCAATCGTGAACGATTCGGTGATTAAACTCGGTCTCGTAAAATTATTGATGATTGCAACAATTTTTGTGAACGATCTGAAACAAACGATCGACAAAATGTTTTAACCTATGACCTGAGATTCTCTGTTTTACGCAAATTATGATATTATAGTGATTGAATAGGTTTTTTTTCTACATTTCATTCAAGATGTTATAGTCGTTTCAACAAACACATACTAATTTTATAAGGCAGCATCGTTTGTATATGAATTTGAGATAATGAATGAAACATACAAGTCTATTCTATCTTTTGTTGCAAATTAATATGAGATACAACTGCTTTACATTTATTCTATGGTAAATATTACTCAAACTATTAATCATAGCATACTAAAAGTTCAGAATACATACATATGAATGTAAAAAATAAAACAAAGTATTTTCCCGATCGAAATCGAAAGGCGACCTTTATGATTGAGCGGATCTCATAGGTTGCAAAGCAATAAAATCCAAAATGATCCATTTGAATGGATGTCTTGGTTCTTTTGATGAATCAAAAAAATCAAGTCTTTAGAAATTAACGATTGACACATGTCTAACAGAAGAGTCTAGTAAGTTAATATATAAAGATTATGTAGTAAGTATATGAGTAAAGTAAATATTTTAGGAAGCGGACAAGCGACAGATGTTGATGTTCGATTAACAGCTCCGAGTTGGGTAGCACGTGGAGGTTCTGCTACACTGCGTTGCCTTCATCAGGTAGGTCAATGCTATTTCATATTGACAATATACTTTTTTAATTTTGTACTTCTTAAGCTTACCATTTTGTTACAAAACATGGTTAATTGATAGTCTCAGACTTATACTGTAGTTTCAAAATAGCCCTTATAACTAAAGAAGTCTCCTTGCTACGATTCCACAGTGTTCGCTTAGTATAAATTTGCTATCAAATTCCATACATTAATTATATACTAGTTCATATATTTCCGCGGGACTTCTTTCGTGAAACAGATTTTAGTTTAAACCTGAAACTAAAATAAATATAAATTACTTTTTGTAATAAAACCGATTAGGTCCGTTATGTTAATGTCAATGTTAACAACATTTTTAACACCAATCAAATTTTCCTCGTTTTTTTTTCTCTGGTAAATTCATGAGAACTCCAGCGGCCAAAATTTTCTATCTTTTAAATATTGATGATTTTTTTAAATTTGAATAAATAAATTGATAAATTTTTTCTCATACCAATCTATACACAAAATTCTTCTTATTTCCTTATAGGCGATGGGCAAGCTTTCTTCTATTAGTCGCCTGACAGTAGCCACGTTTTCTTCCGTATTTGCAGTTGAAGGTTGTGACATTCGGAATTTCTTAACTAATTTCGTCATGGAGAGAAATATGGACATGATCTTATTCTGCATACCAACGTTTTGGTGTGCTCGAATGAGATGCTTCTTTTCCAAAATCATTTTGAAGACAAATAGTGCAGTCTTGAGGAGAGAGTAAACTTTTAAAATCATAAAAATCATCGCCCTAAAACTTTCGCGATAATTCTATTTCATATTAAGATAAGGATGCCGAACTTCAACTTGTAATAAAAAACAACTTCCCACCAAAAATGATTCTAATTAATCTAATATGAGTTTCTTATGTTTTAGAAAGTTACTTTCAATAAGTATTATTTACAACAAATATTAAATAAAAAAATCTTTTTCTGTTAAAAATTATAACATATGAAATTTAAACATTTATGAACGGCCAGGAGCACAGAATTTTCAGTATGTTGTATGTACTGTTTGTATGATTCTACAGATTTAATTTTTACTTGAAAGGAATCAGAAAAACATTGATTAGTAGTAATTGGAATGTTAAAATATTATACCTAAATCACTCACGCTGATTAGATCAACTACATTAATAATAATCATAAAGAATGCGTTAACCCTCAATACTTATGCAATAATATTTTGTACATTTAAATATTTTACTTTCTATAAAAATAAATACATCAACAATCATATTAAGCAACTTATTACAATTTTTTTAAAGAATAAATATGAATGAAAACAATTTAATTTGATTTAGAAATGTTAGTACTATAGAGGTTGATGGGATGATATAACAACTAAACTAAAATATATTTAGAAAATGACGTCGTAAGAGTAAACAGTGTTTCAGTTAGCGAAATCGTCCGCAAGTGTTTACAAATTCGTGCAAGGTATTAAAAGAAATGTAAACCACTTTCATTGCCATCTTCGCATTATGCTGTAAATAATAAAAGATTTGCCTTTGCGGTATGCACGGTGGTTGCGTTTGTTTTTGCGTCATCAAAAAGCTTGCATTCAGTGGCTATGGTTTTTTAAAATGACTCTTATTACGTTTTTTATTAGGTACCGCCGCAGCTTCTATATAAAGTCGAGTTTCTGAGGTCTGGAGCAAAACTGTTACAATATGTGCGTGAAAGAGTACCGCCATTTACTAACTATACATTTCCCGGTGGTAAGCTTAATGTGAGTATTTAATTTTTTGTATCCACCACTGTCGTCATCGTTATCGCCAGGTTATAATCTATGGTAAGAATCATTACCATCATCAGTGATTTCTGAGGGACAAGGCTTCGTAATAATTTACCTGTATCCAGTTATTCCATTAAAAAATAAAAATGATTTTCTGCTGTTGAGTTTATTTATACCCTCATATTATACTTAATAAAATAAAACTTGTTATTAAAGCCTTCGCGAAAAACTACATAATATATTTTCATAATCTGGTAGTGGTATTAGATAATTGATTGTTTCATTTGATCATCATTTATAATAATTTTGAAAATTATTTTGGTCTTCTATTGGAGGTCTGGACAAATAAATGAAACACAATATAAAGTTTCTACCAGGTGTTCCTTCATATCACCCCGTGGCAGTCGTAAGAGGAGACAAAGGTAAAACTGAAAAACAAGATGTACAGCAGAATCTTCCTGATAGCAGGCAAACTCACATGTCAAGCGTGATGACAACAGCTATTGTCCCTCTGATATCCTATCGATTTATGGACAAGGTCTATGTTCAGCAGTAGAGTTTGGACGGGCTTTAATCATGAAGGATTATCCGTCTGACGACAGGACTTGGATTTATGGCATCGTGATAATTTAATATTATCACCGATATCGTCGTAAATAAATGTTTTATATTTATAACGTTTTATTTTCAATAATTTAATTTATGAAACGACGTATACTAATTGCAAACGCCGCGTTCAAATTTAAAGAGAAAAAGTAAACAGAGCTTGTTGTTGAATTATGTATGAAAGCTTTAAGCTTTGTAAGATGTCGTTGAAGGTCGCTATTGTTACAGATGTCTCTGGTGACAGAAAATTCTATTACGATTGAGAATCTTGATCCATCAGCCTCAGGCCTTTATTGGTGTGAAGTTTCTCTAGAGACGCCAATCTTCACAGCTGCGTCTCCAACTCATCAATTGACTGTAGTTTGTAAGTATAATGAAAACCTTTGGGTATTTCCTTTCCAAATTTGAAGACCTTTTGAACAAAATACAACAAAAGAACATTCTATTGTATTTCTATTTATACCTTATTTTTCTTAGAGAATTTTATTTAAATAGTAAAAATTGTTTTCGTTAGTTCGAAAATGTAATACAAACACTGAATCTTTTTTTAAGATTTTTATTATAATGTAGATATACAGCAAAGACTTCAGTATTCGAGCGAAAAACAGGACAGATACACATCAGTCGGCTAGGCATTATATACTCGTAGTAAAGTCGGCGCACATACATCGAACGTAGCGCACGTCTTGGCTTAAATAATGTATATTTGGTGTATTTTCAATGTAAATTAGAGTAAAGACATGATTTAAGATATTGTGGACACCGAAAAAACGTAAAATACACATCGAGCGTGTCGTCCTTTTTGTTTTTTTGGGTTTTTTTCATCATAACACCACCACTCCAAAGATATGTGGCATGTACTTTTGATGTAGGCTAAAGGCGCATTTTATTACACGAATGTCTTCACGATGTATGTGACCTTAGTAAGAGAAACAATTTTTGGATCTGAAAATGGATTATAAGCAAAACAACATATTTAATTTGATATATAAAAATAATTGTATTTCTTCTATAAACCCAGTTTCGAGATTTTCCTTCTATTAATAAAATAAATAAAATAAAATAAAAATAAAAAAGCTTTTTATTCCTTGCTAAATAAGTTTTACAATATAACTTTTTTACAATGTAATTTGCATTTTATAAAGGAAATTGAAAATATAAATTTGGTTTTTTAATACATTAATTTATATCATTTTTTGTAGATTTTATTTAATTTTTTCCTTCTATTAATATAGGATATTATTATTTATTATTAATCAAAACTTTTCATTAGATGCTCAAAAGCACCCACCTATCATTACATTTGGTAAGCCAGACGTAGTGGTGGAAGGCTTATTACGAGCCAATTGTACCAGTGCTCCCGCTGCTCCGGCGCCGCGACTGACTTGGTACATCGACAATGAAAAGGTTTGAAATATTAAATACATAAATAAGTTAATGCTCGATTATGGTTTCAATTAGCTTTACAGATAATTCTATTCACCATAACTAATGCCTCTCGTAAGTTTGCTATTGAACAATGACCTATTCCAAGCACATAAAAAATAAATAAATAATAATAAAAAACATTTATTCCTATAAATGGAACTACAGACCTGAACATTGGCAAAAAATAGTGACTTATATTAAATTAATTTTAACTTATATTATATTAAATTAAATACTTATTACATATAAATTCTTATTACATATAAAAGTTGCTGGCGGCCCCCAAACTAGGCATAGCCTGTATCTTGGGGACCGGGAGTACGGTTATCAGTTTTACTTACGTAGTTAAAAGTACCCAAATATACAACAAATTATTTCTTAATTTCGGAAGATAATTTTTAACTATTTGTAAATAATTTGTAATTAATTATTTAAGTAATTTTGTAATTAATCTTTAAAATATCCTTCATATTATGTAAATTCTTTGCTATATTGTTAATACTAAATTTATTTGCTTTACTTTGGTTGCCTCTATTGGAAAGATCCAGTTCTGCTATAGTTATTTTTGAATTAAATTGTAGTTAATTAGATTCTTTAAACAAATATAAAAAAACCACGGGGGGGGTTCGTAAATCAAAAAAACCCCGGGTTTTTTTTTTCTACTTCTTTCCTTTCTCTCTTTGTTTTCACAAGAGATCCTTAGTGTACTTTGTAATTTGTACGGTATATGCATGTGCTTTGGAATAAAATATATGGCCAATTTTTTGGGAAAGCTTAAGCTTTGAATAGCATTTAAATTTATCTATTTATTATTACTTAAAAATAAACATATTAAAAGAACGTTAAAACAACTTAGCAATGCATACTGCTACAACTGGATCGATATAATTGCAATAAGGTTTGTGTCGTGACAGTATCAATTTTATGTTTTCAAGGACCTTAGAAAATTACTAAGAGCTACATTAAAATATTGAACGGATCGATCGAAGTAATAGAGACGTTATAGTCAGAAACTATAATATTTAAAACGTTTTGGTGATGGCTATTTTGAGTTTAGTAATGGCAACTTTAATTTACGTGGATTAATTTTAAGTTTTGCTATATCCCCTCGACTGTCCAAACCCCATATTCTGGCGTCTCAAATAATATGCGCATCTGTCAAACACCGTAATATGGCGTCGAGTGATAGCAAATTATTTGTAACATATATATGATATATATATCTGTTATGAATAATCTGATAGCTTATTTAATAACGATTCCATTGATATATGATTTTAGAGTACTTCGGAAAGTGCTCAACAGGCCATATTGGCCAAAATGACCCCGACATTCGAGTGGATAATGCTTATTATTAGTAAATTCTGTTTCATTCCTTCTTTACGGAATATATTCAGCTATATCTTAATAAAAATATAGCAGTTTACTTAGTTTCAAAGTTATTAACAGCTTTATCTAATGAGTTTTCATTTACTTTTTGCTTTTTGTTGAGCCACGCTACAGCTATATTCAACTTTATGCTGCTGTGTTTCGTATGATGAGTGTAGAGAAGCGGATACCCATTTTACTGGAAACGAGACATTCCATCTTAGTCCTCAGGGATGACAACGCATCTAAATTTTGATTCTTAATCGAGGATGAACGTAGATGTCTATGAGTCGACTTAAGATCGTTAAGTGGACGCTGTGGTTTGTCAAAAAGAAAAACTAAAAGTGTTTACTCCGTATTTCTACGAGTATATTTAATTATTAAATTTTTGATATTTTTGAAGGACGATAAAATTAAAATTTTGCAAAAGAAAGCACCATCTGTATTATCGTTTGTAACGTAGAACTCATTTTTTTTGTTTTGGTTTTCATAAAAAATAGTTTACTTTCAGGTTCCGGAAGAATCAATTAAATATTTCTCATATCGAGTGTCAAGTTCAACAAGGACAAAAGGAGGCGGTGGCTATAAAAACAGAAAGTACCACCATAGATACATAGCCCCTGAATTTAACTATACCGCTAAGTACTGGGCTCTCGTAAGTGAGACTACAACCACAGTCCCCAACACTACAAAACATAGCAAATGCACATTGAAAGAAGGACAAAGTGAAGAAATGAAAAAGGTTAGCTTTATCACAATTTTTATCATAAAACAATAAAAAAGTGTTAATAGTAATAAAAAATTGCTACTCTGTTTCATTATATTAATGAAATAAATTTCAACCGTCACAATGTTTCGTGTTAGAATTGCTTACCTAACTATAAAGCAACGTTTATAGGTAGGTGTGAGTGAAAGTTCCAGGTTCCACGTTTAGACTTTTTAACAAGTTCTCTTATGTGCAAATGTTTTTGTGCAGTAAAATAGGAAATTTAAATAATATCTCAACCGTCTGTATAGATTCGTGAAAAACCGAGGGAACCGCAAAACGTTCCTATTTCCTTATGGGTGTCTATAGCCGAGTTGAGAACTCCAGCTCATGGAAGATTGCAGCTTACCTGTACTGCGACTATTCCAGATGAAGTTGGTCCGGGTGAAAGATATGCTGATGTAAAAAAACAAACCGTATCAGGTAACTTAGATATGTATACACTCCGTATTTATAAGTAATATAGTAAATTTTATAAAACTTGGTGCCCTTAGAGAATACATTGCCGCAATTCATCGCGAAGGTATTCTAAGTAGTCTATTGGAAATGTATCATATCGCTTTTTATGCGGTATACCGGCTCCCTTACACCAGATGCAAAATACCTAGACCGCCGATGGGAGCAACATAAGAAATGCAAGACGTCTGATACTACAATCGTCAATCTACCTACCATGCGTGACGATTAAGGATGATCCTCCCTACAATGGCAGAAGTTTATATCCAACTGTGGAATTCCATGGGATGATAAAGAAAGAAAGAATAAAAAGGAAAAGAATTTTATAAATTTGACTAATATAAGCCATCCATCCATACATTACAGCATATAAAAGTCCACTGCTGAATATAGGTCTCCCTCATAAATTTCTTCATGTGAGGGAGAAGGGGGGGGGGGGGGGGGGTTGACATAGTTGTAGCGTTTAGCAAACGGATTGGCAGCCGTAGTTTTTTATTATTTTAAAGTGTTATTGCCGCGGCTGCTCATCTCCTGTTCCTTTTTCCCTCTGTCGCCTCTTACTACACCCACGGGATGATATAAGGTAGTGGATATTCTACGCCGCCACTACACGGTTCACACGGTAAAATAATATATTTTTTGCAGTTGAAATGAATGAACTAAGCATTAAGCGACCCCACTCCGAAACTAGCCACGCTAATTCAACGACGACTTGTCTATTTGTCCATCATACACTTTGGCTTTTCGGCTGCGGAATTCTCCTTCATGAGCTTTACTTACAGTTGTATTAAATATTTAAACACTCTCACATTTACGGGAGCTCTTAAAATTGTAGTAGCTGACATTTAAGCAATGCATTATTCAGTTATAAGTTTAATTTCTTTCCGTCTTTTAACTTTTAAGTTTTAAGTATGGTATGATTTTTTATATTCTTGGTTACGAAAAATTTATCGTCTAATTCGTATATTGCTTAATATATTTCTGATTCAACTTTATTATTTTCGCTGGTCAAATTAACGACAGTGTTCATATCTGAGTTATTAATGGTATTAAAGAGAAAGTTAAGTTTGTAAATAAAATGAAAGCGTTCTTATTCCTTATTGTTCAAATTTACTTTTAAGTTTCTGAAAGTCAATTATGCTAATGTACCTTTCGTAGACAGGGTTTCAACAAACTTGTATAACAGCTTTAAAATAATTTTATGTAAGACATACGCATATGAGTCACGCTTCTAATCCTGTTGGTCCTATTGGTATCGATATATTCGGTTAATAATAGTATAAATTTCAATAAATGCATTGAATACAGCACTACAACTTAAAATCGAATAAAGATTCGTATATTATTTGGAAGCTTATTGATATTGATTATTTGCTGTAAAGAATTAAAAGCGAGATGATCTTATTTTTAACATTTTTGAATATTTTAAAGACAATTATATGAACGCTACAAAAGTATTTTCTACAGATAAACTAAATGTATATTTTACAACTTTTGCCACGTTGCTTAGTTGTTAAGTGAAAATAATAAATAAATATTAAAATCCTAGCTCATATATTATAATAGTTCACTTTCCCTTGACAAGGTATTAGATGTTATATTTTGGTATTATTCTTCTCCTTAAAATCACATAGTCGTAATGATAACGAGTAGAAACTGCTTTCAATGTTTTATAATATAATAACTAATATATTCAAAGAAACAAGTTCATAAATATTTAAGGAAAAAAGTCTTAATCATTATTAGAGCCAATATTAATAACAAAATTCCTACAATTTTATCACAGACAAGATTGATAACATAATAAAATGGATTCAAAGAATAATTTTTTAATTATTCTTAATACCAGAATTTCATTATCATCTAACATAAACATAATTTATATATATATATATATATATATATATATATATTATAATTTATTGAAATTCTTTACAATTTCGTATTTAGTCAATGTTTACGTATCCTCATAGGCACTATGTTTTTCCTTACTAATAAGGGGCTTAATTGAATATTATTTGAGATACAATTAAAATTAAAGGACAGGAGCATTAGGCGTCATCCAAATTGGTAACGATCGTACAAGCAAACGATGCGATTTTGTCGCACGGGATTAAACACACACATTTCTTTAGAGTGTGCTAATTGAAGCTTGCAAGTGTTCGCGCGAGCACAAGAAATGCTTAGAAACGATCGTACGATGGGTTTGATTGGACGATCGTGCAATCATCGTTCAATCAAAGCTACAAATATCTGTTGAGTGTCATAAAAGGCCGTGCATCATCGCGCGAGCGTAACAACGCAAGGGCACCGGTGAGCCGAGCTCGAGAAACGAGTATAGACCTAACAGAATAAAAAAAACCTGTGCATCTCAGTCAGTGTGCCGCTGTTGAAATGACGCCGCTGCGGTGACGTCACAGCAGCTTCGTGTCATCGCGCGAGCTTTTAGGACACCTGTTGGACCATCGCACGACCTTTTTCATCATGCACTGATATCGTATCGTTTAATCGTACGATCGATAGCCAGTTACGACAACGCTTTAGGCTCCTGTCCTTTTATATTTAACTTTAAACGGTATTAACCGCGAACTTGAAAGTTATATGTTTGAATCCGCCATTCAACTACTTACTATCGGGATCCACTTCTAAAACAAGAATTTTAAGCTTACTTGGAGTCGTTAAAGAGAACATTGATAATATTAATAGCATTGCTATATAGAAGCTGAGACAATGTTTGGATGTAACATCATAATATAATAAATCCTAAAGCATAAAATGGTCATTTGTGAAGTTATGGTTGTGTTATTTACATGATTCATTCTAAGAAATACCTATTTCAGATATAAAAGAGCCCAACTGAGATAAAATGTTATATTTGAAATATTAATTTTAAATTGAATTTCAAAAATTTAAAAAATTACCTACTTCATAATGATACTCATTAAGCGTCCAAACTTATTTATTTATTAATTCACTTTTCGATTATTATGTAAAATTAAAGCTTACAATTGAAGGTTGCGATAAAGTTAAACTATATTTATGCGCATAAATTATAATTAAACATTCGATATTAAGAAAATATTTTGTGAATCATAATATTGTCGGAATGTTTTAACAGATATTTTCGATATAATTAATATGACGATGTGAAAACAGATAGTTATAATGTTACTAGTGATTATCAAAGAAGCATTGGATTCTTAACTAATAATTAAAAAATCAATGCTTTTATTGGTGTTTAAAGTCTTCCTGCAGCTCTTTACACTGACTATTGTAGAGAAATATTTGTTAGGCTAAAGGATGTGATAAGTCAAAGAAATGTATATGAAAGCAGAAGATATATTTTAAAAATAGAACGGTTATTATTATAATAAAAATTGTATGTTTAAAAAATGTATTAGTAATTAGTTCCATGAAGATAATTTTATAAAATATGCAAAATTTTTTTGTCAACAATTGCCTTTCTAGTCATTTTTTGTTATCTACTATAGTTAGGATTTTATTTTAACTGCTGACATGATAATTAACGTGATGTACTTTAAATAATACTCAATTATATTTTTGGTATTACTTTGCATTATAAATAAAACTTTAAAGTTCACACAAACGTAATTAATTTGGAAAGTAGCTAATAGTTTTTAGTATTAAATAGATAAATGTCTACTCGATGTCAAGTTAAATAGATATGTTACGTTTAAATATTACAAACTCCTTCAAATTTAATTAAATATGTGATGCGTTGATGTTAATGTTGGTCTTTTTTGTTAACGTCCTGGTCATCTATGAAAGTATTTATGTTAATCTAAGTAGTGACATATTTGATGAAAATAAATCATGAAAAGGTGTGTACACATTGTGTTTTATTTAACTTGTACTTGTGTAACATCCGCGATTTGTTAGTAAATTTTAATGCATCCTAAAACTATAAGAAAATTCGAATATATACGTAAAAATTTAATTTAGTAACGTAGCAAAAGAAAGCAAAAGGATATTTGTTTTTAACTTTAACATAGTTACTAGTGAGTATTTTGTAAACCATTCCCTACTAGTGTGTAGTGTTTTACGTGGTAGAGCCATGTTGCAGCTACATTACTAATAATAGTTGTAGCATAAATGGGTCGGCTCGATTGAGGAAGGACCACGCTCTTACAAAATTTCAGCGTAAAATAGCAGCTTAACGCTGCTGTGTTTCGTATGGTGAGTGTAGAGAACCGGATCCTTTTTACTGGAAACAAAGAATTCCATCTTAGTCCTCGCGGGTGACAACGCATCTATATTTTTATTCGTAGCTGAGGATAGATGTAGATGCCTTTGGGCCACAGCAACAATTTACCATCAAGTGGACTGAGTTCTCGTTTGTCAACCTTATCCTGTAAAAAACCCTCACTACCGTATTTTACCAATGTATCAAATCCTACAAATATAACCTTACCGACACGCCCTACACTCTAATCGCTAATGAGCGAGGCCTTGAAGACTGAAAAATGCCGGTATATACATTTGATAATTCCCTTTCTTAACCTCTCAATGTACAAGCGTCTAAAAGTGATCGCAGCGATATTCCGTCAAACTCAAAGACGTTAAATTTGACCGCACCCACCCACAGTATTTTAACCCATAAACAATTATGTATAGAGACTACTTTTCTATGAAGGAGTTTGGCATTATAGAATCAATATGAAATTTTCTATCCTCTAGTGCAATAAAAAGTCATTCTCTAACTCATTTAAACCAAAATCAAAAAATGTTACAACCACTCAAAGATTTTCACTTGTAACTAGAAGGCATTTTACATAATACTATATCACTGTAATTTGATAAAAGTATCGTCAACCTACAACTACTTACAGCATAAGGTTGAAAAAAATAGTTGGAAATAGTAAAAAAATAGTATCTCAAAAATAAAGGAAAAAATACACTTTACATTTTACTTTTGATGCGGTTTTAATTTTACTATAAAAATTGGTTAAGGTCCTCAACTATTCATTTTAAAAATGGGCTAAGGTGCCATTTAGTCCACCCTCAACTACTCATTTTGTGGTACGTGTTAAAGACAGGCTGCAGCACGAACGGGTCAGCTTAACCGAAATATAACCACGCTTGCACAGAATACCACTGTGAAATAGCAGCACAATGCTATTTTATGCTGTGTGTGGTAAGTGAAGAGGAACGAAGAACTTTTTACTGATAGAAGTTTTATTTTAATAATCAGGTGTGATTTTGAATCTACATGTAGGACAGATGAAGGAGTCTGTGGGCCAGAGCATTCCTTTGCCTTCGGATGAGCTGTGTTCTCGTTTGTTATCCTAACTTTAATTTAAAAAAAAAACTTAAATTTTAATGTGATTGAATCAGAAATTCGACAACTGTCATGAGCCACTTTTTGCACAATAAATATTGTAAGATTATTTGGAGTCAGCACTGCTAGTCAATCCTCTTTTTTTTTTAAAAAAAAGAAGGAGAGTCGTCTGCATTGGAACAACCCTCTACCTATTTGCGCTGCCAAACTGGGTTCAAGCGAGTGATGTATTCCGGTTTAAAAGATAAAAGTGCCAGTAATAAACCAAGCTGTAAGAAATTTCATTAAGTGCTGACTAACTAAACATTTGTGACTATTTTTATCTGCAGTTTCTTGCAGATATCTACTTGTTGCAGAAGTATGTTTCTACTAGTTCGTCAGTTTGATTGTAGATTGTTGTATTTTCTTTACTCGTTTCAGTACCCGTATCTATTTTTCAGATTCCAGCCGTTTCTGGATTGAGAAAGAGATTTGTTTCGGTAATATTTGTAA